TAAAAATTAGCCAAATGTGGTGGCACACACCTGTAGTCCCAGCTACTACAGGTGGGGTGGGAGGATGGCTTGAGCCCGTGGGGCCAAGGCTTCACTGAGCCATCATCGCACCACTGCACTCCAGCCTGCACAACAAGACTCTGTCTCAAACAACAACAACAAAAAGGTTCAACACAAATTTGCCATATAATTTTGGCAATTCTAGCTTGTTCCAGCGATTCCACTCCAAGGTACATACTCACAAAAATAAAGACATATATCCACACAATAACTTGTACATGAATGTTCATAGCAGTATTATTTATAACAGCCAACCCAAATGTCCATCAATTAATAAATAGATAAAATGTGGTATATCCATACAATTGAATATTAGACAAAAAAATAATGAAGTACTGATACACACTAAACATGGATACTTTTATTTTTTATTTTTATTTTTATTTATTTATTTTTTCAAATGTAGGTTCGCTCTTGTTGCTGGAGTACAAATGGTGCAATCTCAGCTCACTACAACCTCTGCCTTCCGGGTTCAAGCAATTCTCCTGCCTCAGCCTCCTGAGTAGCTGGGACTACAGGTGCATGCCGTCACACCCGGCTAATTTTTGGTATTTTAGTAGAGACGAGGTTTCACCATGTTGCCCGGGCTGGTCTCGAACTCTTGAGCTCAGGCAATCCGGCTGCCTCAACCTCCCAAAGTGCTGGGATTACAGGCGTGAGCCACCACACCCAGCCCCAACAAATATTTTGGAGTTAGTTCTGGGACACAGTTATTTGGAAACAGTTTGATCCTTTAAGGCCTTGTTTTTAAGATTTGTTAGGCAGAACCAGAGCAGCCTTTAGGCTAGGGACAATTTTGGTCCAGAACTGAGGCAAGACCCTTCTGAGTACTTCAACCATGCCCTGTGAATAATAGACTTCCAATATGCCAGGTGGGAACAGACACTACTTCTGGCCCCATGTGAGTTCTAGCTACTGGGGCCTCAATACTTTCAGGTGGTTCTGTCCCCAGCCTGGAGCAGTATCCTCACATTCATGTCCTATCAAGTACTGTGCTGTGTACTCAAGGGGGACCTTCTGAAGATCTGTGGATTTGCTGTTGCTGTGAGTTTTTTTTCTCTCCCTGTGCAGCACTCTCCTATCTGGTATTCTGCCCTGTTGACTCTAGCTGTCTGGGTCACCCTGGACTCTCAGCTCCATCTCCTCACCTCAGGCTCCAGTAGGCTCTACCTAGGTTCCACCTTTCTGTGCCACCACCCAAAAACTTTCTCTGGGCAGTAAGCTGGGCAATCATAGGGCTTACCTCCTTTGTTTCCTATCTCTCATAAATTATTGTTCTTCATGGCCTGATGTCTGACGTCTTGAAAACAGTTAATTTTTAAAAATATATTTTGTCTAAGTGTTTAGTGGGAAGGCAAATTTGATCACTGTTATTCCATCTTTGTCAGAAGTAGACATCCACACTCACGTTTTGTTTGGCAAAAAAGGTAGAATTAGGCCTGGAGCAGTGGCTCACTTCTGTAATCCCAGCACTTTGGGAGGCCAAGGAGGGTGGATCACGAGATCAGGAATTCGAGACCAGCCTGGTCAACGTGGTGAAACCCCAGCTCTACTAAAAACACAATTAGCCGGGCGTGATGGCGGGCACCTGTAATCCCAGATACTCGGGAGGCCGAGGCAGGAGAATTGCTTGAAACTGAAAAAACAGAGTTTGCAGTGAGCCGAGACCGTGCCATTGCACTCCAGCCTGGGCAACAGAGCAAAAAAATAAAATAAAATAAAAAGTAGAATTAATTGGCTCATGTAATCCAACCCTAGAAAGGAAGAAAATACACTGGCCTTAAGATTAACTGGATAGATCATCTCAAATCACACCAGTATGTTTTATCTTTCTCCATCTCTCCAGCTGATCTCTACTTCTATATGTTGACTAAATTCTGATGGAAGACATGGCTACTAATAGTTCTAGAATCCCAGCCACATAGCCAGAATGCCAGAGGCCAAAGAAGGAACTCTTTTGTATCTTCAACTTGGATAATTCTGTAGTAGTGGCATCTTGTGTCTGTGTCTTTTAGCAAACACTGAGATCAAGAGGGCATTACAAGGATTGACCCAACAAACCAACAAAACGTATGTGTTGATATGGTTTGGATTTGTGTCCCTGCCCAAATCTCACATCAAATTGTAATCCCCAAGGTTGGAGTGGGGCCTGGTGGGAGGTGACGGGATAGTGGGGACGGATTTCCCCCTTTGGTGTGGTTCTGGTGATAAGAGTTCTCATGAGGTCTGGCTGTTTAAAAGTGTGTGGCACCTCCCCCCCGCCCCCCGCGCTCTCTCTTCTTTCTGCTCCGGCCATATAAGACATGCCTGCTTCAAATTTGCCTTCCACCATGATTGTAAGTTTTCTGAGGCCTCCCCAAAAGCAGACGCAACTATACTTCCTGTACAGACCGCAGAACCATGAGCCAGTTAAACCTCTTTTCTTTACAAGTTGTCCAATCTCAAATATTTATTTATAGCAATATGAGAATGGACTAATAGTATATCATCTACATTGCCATTGAATACATAGGTTTGGGCATTTGTAAGTATTCTCTTGGAATAACTACCTCAGAATGAAATTGCTGTGTCAAAGGTTTTGGACAAACTTTTTTCAAATGTTGTCAACTTGCCCGTCAAAAAGTTTACACCACTTTACGTTCCCATCAGTGATGTGTCGTGCTATGGCACATTTCTCCTCATCATTACCAACACTGGGTATTAATTTTTTATTTCATTACTGCCAAGCTGACAGGTGAAAATGAAGTATGGCTGTTATATTTTAATTTGTAGTTCTTAGATTAGTCCTGAAGTCAAACATTCTTTCATAGACATTTATTCATATGAAGGCTATTTACTGTGTGCCAACTATGTCACATACATAACAATATTTTCAAATGTAAGTCATCTACCCTTATTTTTCTTTTAATATCTTATTTTTTCTTTTTAGAGATGGATTCTGGCTATGTTGCCCAGGCTGGACTTGAACTCCTGGCTGGCCTACTTTTTATAACTTTCATGTACAGCTTTTTAGTACCTTGTGTTAAACCTATCAATTGTTTTCTTTATGATTTCTGCCTTTGACGTTGATACAGGCTTCATATACTTTTAGCTGGTCGTATTCGGTATGACAGGCAGATTCTGTTAAGACTTGCCAAGTCACATGTAAAAATCAGCCTTTGGCACATATCTCTTCTAGATCTTAATCGGCTCCTGCTCTTAAAAGATTCCCAGGGCCATAGGCAGCAATTCAAAACGTGGTTTTTTCCCAAAAGGCTAATTAAGAGAGGCAGTACTTCTGCCGTGTTTACGAAGTTCATCAACAACTTGAGCTCTAAGCAGATATTCTAGTTGATGATGCTCTCTGATTATTAAGAGAATCTATGAATAATAATACTAGTAAGTGATATACACTCGTTTTTCATTTAGGAGCTTTTAAAATTTGGCTTGCTTTGGACTGATAGCTAGCTTATTTCCTGGTAGTGCAGAAGGAAAGTAGAACTATTGTCTCTACAAACATAGATCCCCAAAAGCTGCTTCTCTCATATCAACTCGTTTTTCTGAAACAAAGATGCCTTCTACCTTTTCATCAAACACCTTGCATATTCAGTAAGAGTAACAGATGAACAGGAAGACTGTGGCTTGGCAATGTCAGAAGGGACCTTCTAGGGTTTCCTGGCAGTTTCCCAGCCTCAAATATAGTTTTTTTTTTTTTTTTTTTTTTTTTTTTTTGAGACAGAGTTTCACTCTTGTTACCCAGGCTGGAGTGCAACGGCGCGATCTCAGCTCACCGCAACCTCCGCCTCCTAGGTTCAGGCAATTCTCCTGCCTCAGCCTCCTGAGTAGCTGGGATTACAGGCACGCGCCACCATGCCCAGCTAATTTTTTGTGTTTTTAGTAGAGACGGGGTTTCACCATGTTGACCAGGATGGTCTCGATCTCTTGACCTCGTGATCCACCCGCCTCGGCCTCCCAAAGTGCTGGGATTACAGGCTTGAGCCACCGCACCCGGCCTCAAATATAGTTTTTTTACAAACTGTAAAATAGTTGTTTTACAAGCTATCTTTTGCTTGGCAAAAGTGATGTCCAATGGAACATTCTGTGATTATGGAGCTGTTCTATATTTGTACTGTTCAAGATGGTAACTATTAGCCATATGTGGCTATTGAGCACTTAAAATGTGGCTAGTAGACTTAAGAACTAAATTTTAAATTAAATTTTAATTAAGTTAAATTTAGATACTCATGAGTAGGGTTATCAGATTTAACAAATAAAGTACAGGATGCTCAGTTAATTATCAGTTACAAATAAGCAACAAATAATTCTGTGGCTGAAGTACACTCCAAATATTGCCTGGAACACACATGTACTATAAAATTATTCTTTTTTATCTGAAATTCAAATTTAACTGAGCACATCATATTTTACCTAGCAACCTTATACGTGTGGCTGGAGGCTATATATTGGGCACTGCAGGTGCAGAGTGTCTTGTTTTTTACAAAGTTCTTTGAAATTACTTGCAGATACCTGTAGAATCTAAATCAAGGAGGAAAAATCATTAAGATCGTATTTTGGGCCGGGCGCGGTGGCTCAAGCCTATAATCCCAGCACTGTGGGAGGCCGAGGCGGGTGGATCACGAGGTCAAGAGATCGAGACCATTCTGGTCAACATGGTGAAACCCCGTCTCTACTAAAAATATAAAAAATTAGCTGGGCATGGTGGTGTGTGCCTGTAATCCCAGCGACTCAGGAGGCTGGGACAGGAGAATTGCCTGAACCCAGGAGGTGGAGGTTGCGGTGAGCCAAGATCGTGCCGTTGCACTCCAGCCTGGGTAACAAGAGCGAAACTCCGTCTGGGGGGAGAAAAAAAAAAAAAAAAGATCGCATTTTGACAAAAAAATGAAAAGCTACTTGCCTTCTGAAAGAAGGCCATTAGATACCACAGCCAAGTACAAAACCAATAAAATTCAATTCAAAATTGTTTATTGGATGCCTTCTATGTGTAGAACAAATATTCAGCTCTATACAGCAATATTGCCATGCAAATTGCTTAAAACCTGTGTCAGTTTGAATTGGTCAGTGCCTGTGCTGTACTGAGCATCAACTATTATGAATATCATCCTTCACTAGGAGGAAAATGAAATAGGTCTTGAGATCTCCTTTCCAGGAACTCACAACTGGTGGAGAAGCCAGACACCAACTCCAAAAACAGACGAACATTAGCAAGCATTGGGTCTCTGAAAAACAAACAAAATAAAAAGTTATTTAATATAAGACAGATTCTAAATAATATACACAAGAAAAATGCTTTGGAAATATAAGGGGTCAGCCATAGAGGGAACCAGTGGGTGGGTGATATCGCTTGTCTATTTCTTTCTTTATTTTATTTTTGCCAACATCTAATAAGCTCTCATCTTTTCTTCCAAGGGCTTGACAAATAAGGCTATTTTGTTGTTGTTGTTACCTGGGCTAGAGTGCAGTGGCATACTCATAGCTTCCTGTAGCCTTGACCTCCCGGGCTCCAGCAATCCTTATTTGTGAGGCTGAGGTAAGAGGCTTGTTTGAGCCTAGGAATTCAAGGTTAAAGTGCTGCTGCACTCCAGTCTGTGTGATAGAGTGAGACCTTGTTTCTAAAAATAAAAAATAAATCAACATACCAACATGTCTAGTAGGTTTTGAGTTTTTAATATGACTCAGAGTTGCACAGCAGGCTGTGGTGGATATTCGGATCCTTGCAGCTACACTGCTAGCTGTCGGCGCCTCATAGCTGAATCCTTCTCCTGGAATGGCTCTCAGCAAGGGCCTTGCATGAGGCTGCACCCCTTCCTTGGGGTCAGGCAGCATCAAATGAATGGTCTCTAAGGGATACAAAGGCCCACATCTTGTCTCATTGGGGGTAACTTAGCGCTTTTGTCATTCTGTGCCCCCCAAGGCCCAGCGGAAGCCTCTATAGCAACGATACTACAGTTCAACTTCTCCCTCTGTCCAACTCTGCTTCCCTTACTCCCAGGAGTTGTCACTCTGTACTCCCCATAAACAACAAAGCAACGAGCTCTGCATGCACATCTCTGTCTAGGAGTCTGTTTCTGTGGAGCTTTATCTAAGACATAGGTTGTCGAAATATGTTTTAAGTGACCTTCCAGATTCTTAGGACAAACTTCCAGCTTTGTTGAGATTGGCTTTGTCTACTGCTTGGGAAGAATGAGGCCCAAACTGCCTTTTTCCAGACAGACGTGCAAACTTCATACAGTCAGGAGACTTAGTGGTTTCTGGAATGAGAGAGGAATTTTCTGGGACTGGTTACATTAAGTGGGATGACTAGACTGGCAGGTGCCTGCAATTAATCTTCCCTTCCTCAATAAAATGCAGACAACTCAGTGAGATCTGTAGATCTTTGAATGCCCTTGAACTAATCCAATTCTGGCCAACAAAATAGTCACTCATCACAGTAAAAGAATCCCATGGACCAATTTCTCCCTCTGCCTGGAATAAATACTTCCTCTTTCTTCCATTAGGTCTCTCACTGATCCCTCTCCTGCCTAACTTTTCCTGCCAAGACTAAAAGCTGCTCTTTGGAATCTTGGGAGTGGACCTTGACACCTCTGATTCACAATCACGTAACCCTGTGGAATCTGACTAACATCTCTTGTCTTGCCAGCTGTCATCTTTCATCTCTCCTCTTGGCTTTGTGCCTTCTTTCAGCTTAGCTGCAAAGCAGAGATGAGGCTAGAGGGGAGGGTAGTGTTAACGTGTGAAGTTCTTTCTATGTACCAAGCACTGTTCTGGGCACTTCACATTATCTCATTAAACCTCACAATAACCCTACAAGGCAGAAATGGCCGCCCTCTCCCTCTGACACACACAACAAACACCGCAGTTCAAAGAGTTACGTAATTCAGGTCTTTGAGATGTGTAACCTCTCCTTTTTAGGAAGTTATCAGACTCAGCTAGGTCTGCATGGCACTGTGAAGCAATGTCTTGAGTTAATTCTAATGTCACTAATGTTAGTCTTGGTGGAACTCAGTTTGATAGTGGTTTGGATATGAAAGGATCTAACTCTGATTTTATTCCTAAGTCCTTTACAGTTTGAGCTGTCCTAAGGTGTAGGTCGGAAGAGGCATCTGAAACTGGGATGGTCTCCTAACAGCTGCCCAACATTCTTGGATCATGAATGAACTGATTAATGAATTCATTTAACAGGGGTCTACTGCATCTTTACTGCTGATAATGTGCAGAAAGTACTATTCAGAGGTGCTATGACCCGGTGGTTAAGACTCTCAAGTCAAGCTACTTGAGTTCAAATCCAGGCTCTACCACTCAGTAACTGTTGTCACCTTATACCAGATATTATATTAATCTTTTGGGACTTCAGGTTCATCACTTGTAAAATGCAGATAAAAATACTTCATGGGAAGTAGTTGTGAGGCTTAAGCAGGATTGCCCGTGTAAAGGGCTTGGCACACAAGTAACTTCTTGAACCATGGTAGCTGTTATCTTATTATAGGACAAAGCAAGCCATGGAAGAATGGATTCAAATTTCAGGAAACACAGAATCTAGGAGGGGAGATGACATGTGTGTCTAAATAACTATAACACAAATTTAGAAAGTGATGGATGATGTGGAGGTAAAAAGCATATAATAAAACTTGGAGGAAGAAAATATTACTTCTAGGTAAGGAGATCAGGGGAGGCTTCTTGGTTGAAATAACATTCAAGCTGATAGATGATAAACACAATCAGTTTTAAACCTGTGAGCAGAAACCCTATTGTAAACCAGCAAACACTAACCGAAGTCAAAAATAATACCAAACGACAGGCTGCCAGTGCAGAGTCCTGGAAAACAGCACTTCCAATCTGGGTGCCCGAGGGGCAAGATCAGTGCAGGGCAAAACCAGTCCAACCCACAGATCTGCTTTCCGTTCAGTTCCACAACGGTCATTCTGACCCAGGCAAGACTTCTGCCTAGTGACCTTCATCAGGATTAGCTCTGGAGAAGACTCCAAATCAATGACTGTCAGCGAAGGTTCATTAAGTGCATACTGTGAGCCCAACACTGTAGGTATGGGGAAGGATACCCCATGTACACATGAGTGACTCCCTCTCACGGAGCTTATTTAGCCTTGTTAGGAAGATAAGATTAATATTCAAAATGATTTTTATGGCATTTATCATTTTTCCTGTTTGTAAGAACAACACGAGTTCACTGTAGAAAATTCAGAAAATACAGATAATTACATATAATAAAAGCAAATTTATCCCAAATCCCACTACCCAAGATTAACCATAGTTAAAAATTCAAATTATGAATTTTTACAGCCTGGTCCCTGAGATAGGCATCTCATCCCCTCACCTAACACTTGCTCATAGGAGGAGATTCTTGTACAAGTGGATCGTAAGTTTTCCTGTTTTTTCTTTCCCTTCTGGATATGTCTGCCTGGGAATGTGATTTGACTTCAAGTACAGAGAAGGCAGTCATTTGAATGCTATTTCAGGTTCTCAGTGTAGCCTTCCATCAACAGGCAGCTCTGGGAAGGCTCCCGGTTCTTCTGCAGGTAGCCCTCTGGGCCTTGTGCTACCATATACTATGAGGAGAAAGGAAGTGACTCACACAGCCCTGCACAAAAAACCTAAAGCACTGTTCCCATTTGGGCAGGGAAGGGTCAGCACATATTATGTTGCATATAGGGAAATGGTCTCCTTCCATAATACAGCTCCAAAATATACTGGTGTGAGAGAGAGAATATTAATTGGGCATGCCTCTGTGTGTGTGTGTGTGTGTGTGTGTGTGTGTGTGTGTGTGAGAGAGAGAGAGAGAGAGAGAGAGAGAGAGCGCGAGAGAGGGAGAGAGAGAGGGAGAGAGAGAGAGAGAGATTCTGGATGACTAAAAAGGAATCCTCATCCTGCATCACCCAGTGGCAGTGAGATCTTAAAGAAGACTCATAGGTCATTTTGGACTGATCTGCTGAAGGGAAGGCCCCCTGTGGTGATGGTCTAGACCAGAGATCCCAAATCAGGAGCCCCATGCTGTGTTGGCTTGTACAGTGTGTTTAAAAATCAAATTAGCTTTCAACATGAAACCTTCAGGAGATATCATATAAAAATTTGGAATTCCAGTTTGAAAGGAAGAAAGTGAGAGAGGGAGAAAGAGAGAGAATGAATAAATCTGGCAATCTAAGGAAATTAGCTCTTTAAGTGTCACTAGGTTTTCCCAACTTATTATTTGTTTTTTGAATTGATTGGGAGTGGATGAGCTTTTTATTGTTGCTAAAGTTTGTTTTTGCTTTTATGCAGAAATTTTCCATTTTTATGCAGTTAAATTTATCAACTATTTCTTTTACGGCTTCTGAACCTTGTATCTTGCTTAGAAAGATTTAACCCCTGCTTGCCTGGATCCTAATCTCCTCCTTATAAGGACACAAGTCACACTGGATTAGGGCCCACCCTAACGACTTCATTTTAACTTAATTACCTTTTTTTTTGAGACGGAGTTTCGCTCTTGTTTCCCAGGCTGGAGTGCAATGGCGCAATCTTGGCTCACCGCAACCTCCGCCTCCTGGGTTCAGGCAATTCTCCTGCCTCAGCCTCCTGAGCAGCTGGGATTACAGGCACGTGCCACCATGCCCAGCTAATTTTTTGTAGCTTTAGTAGAGACGGGGTTTCATCGTGTTGACCAGGATGGTCTCGATCTCTTGACCTCGTGATCCACCCGCCTCGGCCTCCCAAAGTGCTGGGATTACAGGCTTGAGCCACCGCGCCCGGCCTTAATTACCTTTTTAAAGACTCTATCTGCATATACAGTCACATTCAGAGATACTAGGGGTTAGAGCTTCAAACCTGAATTTTGGGGAACACAATTCAGTTTATAGCATCACCCAGAATTATTTTTTAAAATTCCCCCATGTTTTCTTTCAGTACTTTTATGGTTTTATTTTTAAATGTTAAAATGTGATTCATCTGAAGTTTGTTTGGTATAAGAAATGAAGCTGGGCGCGGTGGCTCACGCCTGTAATTCCAGCACTTTGGGAGACTGAGGCGGGTGGATCACGAGGTCAGGAGATGGAGACCATCCTGGCCAACATGGTGAAGCCCCGTATCTACTAAAATACAAAAAATTACCCAGGCGTGGTGGCGTGTGCATGTAGTCCCATGCCACTGCACTCCAATCTGGCGACAGAGTGAGATTTCATCAAAAATAAAAATGAGAAAGGGATCCAATTTTATTTTTTTCTAGATACTAAGGTAAATGATTTAACACCATTTATTAGTAATCTTTTCCCTCAGATCTTAAAATTCTAACTTTTGTTTTATACTCCAGCTCCATGTACGTTTGGGCCTATTTCTGTATACTATTTTATACCATTAATGTATCTATTCCTGTGGCACTACCAAGCTTTTAATTATGATACTTTTATATTTTTAATCTTTCAGGGTAAATGTTCCTCTGTTATTTTTCTTTCTCAGAATTTTCATCACTATTTTTGCACATTTACTTTTCCCAATTTACTTTAGCTTTCCCTTGTGTCATCTTAAAATATTCTGATAGCATTTTTACTGGGATAGAGTTAAAGATATAGATGAATTTAGGAAGATTCTACATGTTTATATTGTTGAAATACTTACTTAGCTTTGTATATCCTTTGTACTGATGGAATTTTTAACCCTGTACATGTATTATTTTTATGACAAGGAAAAATTTAATTTCATTCTTAAAAATATAAATAATAAAAGAACACAGCAGAGGTAAACAATGATTAGCAGAGATAAATTTATCCGGAGGAGCCATTTTGGAGTTCCTTAAATTCTAAACCCCACAATTATAACTTCTCCTCTGTTTACGGATGTCGTACTTTCTCACGGTTAGAATAAAATAGATTGGGCAACTTATTTGACAGTCTGCATGGTGTACTAACGAGAAATGTTAGCTCTCCCCTCTGCTCTTTCTCATTTCTGCCAGTTCAGGAGATACACTACTCTCTCAAAGGTTGTCTAGGCTGAGAGGCAGACTGCAAACTTGGCAGGTTTCCTTAACATTCCCCAGCCAAGGCAGTTATTATCTGGCTAAACCGAAGAGGGTCAGGTTTCTGGTGACAATGAAGCTGCTTCAGGTCCTCCTCCCATCTCACCAGCAGCCAGCTGCTTTTCTCTCCTGAGCTCTGGTGTCTTCCCTGCCCCTCCTGCAGAGCTGCAGCAAGCAGCGCTGACACCTTAAATGGTCTTTATGTCTGTAACTCGGTGAGGAAGAAACCCTGGGGTTATACTTCTCTTTAGGAGGTCATTGCTAATGTTTCTTGGTTCCCAGATTAAGTAAGGTCCTATGAGTCCATTTTCTCTTTCTTTTCTTTTCTTTTCTTTTCTTTTCTTTTCTTTTCTTTTCTTTTCTTTCTTTCTTTCCTTCTTTCTTTCTTTCTTTCTTTCTTTCTTTCTTTCTTTCT